ATGAGCGGGATCCCCGGTGCCAGAGGGCAGGTACTGCTGCACCACATGCAGTGACGAGCACTGACCTGACCCCCACGCCAGTCGAGGGTCCCACAGCTTCCTCTGTGCCTTTGCCACCCAGCTTTCTCCCACCAAAGCATCCAGGACAGGATGCACAGGGCATCAATCCTGCAGTGCCAGTGTTTGCCCCAGCAGAGCACATGGTCCCATTCAGTGGTGCTACCAAGGAGCTGGTGTCAGTATTGTCCCAGCTACTGAGAGTTTCCCACTCACCATTCCCCCTGGGACCCATGTGCCCTTGCTGATCTGATCTGTCACCCCTGGAACTGCTGAGCTGATCCCTTGTTCACATAGGGGATGCTGTGGTGCTGGGGTATCCGGCTGCTCAGTACCGTCACCCCAGCATGTGGAATGGCACAGAGCCAGCTCCATCACTGGGCTTGATTCAAGTCCTCCCAAAATGATTTCCTGGTTTCAGTTTCCCTCCAGCTTCAGCATTTCCATGAGCAGTGCTGGGCACGACCCCATCCTCACTGCTGGTTTCAGGGCTGTGCCAGAGCAAGCCAGGAGTTTGGGTGTCATGGGGGACCAGGGACGTTCAGCAGCTGGGGATGATGATGATCTGGATAATGACCTGGAATGATCAGGCAGTGCCTGTGCTCAAAATACACTTGTTCCCAGCAGCACTGTCAGTGTTCAGTGGGATGAATCCAGACAGATGGGTCTGGGGTACCAGTGATGCCCCACACCCTGCTCTGCCCTGGCTCCCCCTGGGATGCTCAGTGCCATCTGCAGATGTGTCCCTGTGCTCTTTGTTGGGAGCAAGCTGGGGCAATGGGTAACGGGACAATGGGTACCAGAGATTTTGCTCCAGCCCTGAGAAAACTGGTGGCAGAATCTATGGCATTGCTTGACATTTTGCTCATATTTTTGAATTGCATTAAGCAAATGTAGAAAATTATTTGTCCTGTTAATACTTGAAGCCAGAATTAAAATAAAATGACCTTCCACCTCTCCTGCTTTCCCAGCCTGCCCAGCAGTGCTCTCACAGACACGCTGATCTGTGTCCATGCTGCTGCCTTTTGGGGCACTTTGTTTTTGGGAATAGCCATGGAGGGTCCCAAAAGCAGTTTCAAGGCAAGATGCTACATCCATACCAGGCTGTATTGGTGACACATCCAGCCCTGTACTGGGCTGCTGGGGGACACTGTGCAAGGCACAGTAAAGCCAGGGCATGCCAGGGGTGCCACACGCGGACCCCCTTTCCCCTCGCTCCTGTCCTGGCCCTCCACTTTCCTACAGCCATGTGTTACTCAGCTGCTGGGCCAGGAAATGAATCCCTGATGGGATGGGCAGGAAATAGTAAAGCAAGTGGGGTACAATGGCCTGCACTGGCCTGGCAGGTCCCGGACCCCAGGGTCACCCTCCAGTGTGGGCACTGTGGCTGTCACCAGCTCCAGGTAAGGCTGGGAAAGAGGAGCATCAGGCAGGGCTGAGGACTAGGAGCTCCAGCCCAAGGGACATTCCTCCCCCTGGTCCCTTCTGCCTGTAGGACCTACCTGGTGTCCTGTGGGTGATGTCCTTACTTGGTTCCCATGTCAGTCCCACGTGACATGGCAGAGCACACGTGCCATCCCAGGGGAGCAGCCAGTAATCACCGTGCCACCATCAGCCTGGGGAAGAAGCCGTGTCCCCACGGGCCAGATGTGGTACCCAGCAGCCAAGCAGGAATGCTGCAATGCTCACTTGATGCCTGCAAACCTGCATCTCCAGCAGAACCACCGTACAACCTTGGACATCCCCAAAACATTCCCTGCCTTCTCCCTCCTCCAGACTGTGGTCTGGAGGTCCAGCCAGCTCCTAAGGATGGGGAGATAAAAGCATCTGAGTGATAATGAGTGCCAATGCCTCCATCCTTGCAGCTAAACCAGGGACTGGTTTTACTGGGAAGCCCCATTTAACACAGGCACAGGACAGTTTGGCATTTGTGGCTTGGGATGTTAAGGGATGAGCATCCCAAGGATCACTCATTCCCTGATGGGGAGATGCTGCCATCCACTGCCACAGTGCCCACAGGACCTGCCCCGTGTCTGACTGCTCGGGTGCCACGGGCAGGGATGAGGGATGGTGTTTGCTTACTGGCAGCAGTGGGTCGGGGAAACCTGTGGCCTGGCTGGGTTTCTGTTTGGCAGGGTATTTAAGGGTGTTCTCCAGGGTGTGCCAGCCCTGGCCTCCACCCTGCTTTCACAAGCACCCTCTCCGAAAGGAGCTTGTTGTTCTCGGTTGTGGAGTGTAATGAGCACCATGAAATTTCCTGGGGAAGTTGGGCTGTCAATGGGCAGAGCAGGGACAGGGCCACCTGTGCTGAGAACCTGGGGACAGACATGTCCCCTCCTCATGCCCAGGGCAAGAGGAGCCTGGCTCCATCATGAGCCCAGTCCAGCAACCCAGCTGGACAGGGGAATTTGGAAAACAGGAAACATCTCTTTAGCCAGGGCTTTGAATGCTGTGTCCTGCAAGGGCTGTGGCCCCACACTTTGTGGGAAACAACCTGGTTGGAAACCAAGGACCAAACCTAAAACCAAGGAATATGCATGAGCTCCAAATGCAGGTATTTGCTCTGGGGCTGCTGGTGCCTCTGACAGCCACTCCTGCGCCCACAGACATCCTCCTCACCTCACCTGGGGCAGCCATGGGCCTGAGCCCATCTCTTGGGCTCTGCCAGGCTGTGTTGGTGCCACAGCTCAGCTTTGGTCTCTCCCTGCATCTTGGAGGTGACCACGTTGGTCTCAGGACTTGGTGATCCTAAGTGGCATTTTTGGGCTTGGTCTTACCTGTGCGAGAAAATGTCCTGCATTTGGGTATTGTCATGGCACCAAAACCTTTCACTGGCTCTTTGAGGGAAAGACAAGTTGGAAGAAAGGATCTCTGCCAGCATCAGCAACTGCTTGGGTGCTTCTAAGGAAAAAAGTAAAGTTAGGGAGTGTGCAAACCCCAGCTGCCTGGCAGCCCCCAAATACCCACCACTGCCCAGTGCCTGGCCCACAAAAGGCTCTGGTGGGTGCCAAGCCAATAGGTCCACTTGCCTCTGTCATCTGCTGGGATAAACTTGTCCCCATTGCACTGGAGTGACAGCAGTGTGAGCCACAGCACATTTTTCCCCTCCTGTGTCCAGCATGGACCCAAAGGCACCGTTCAGACCTGGGGAAACTGAGGCTGGGAACTGGTCCATGGTGAGCAGCTGGTGCTCTGCCAGTCATCAGAGCGGGGACAGAGGGGTTGGATGTAGTCACACATGTGCATGAGGAAGAGGGCGAATGTAGCAATCGTAACCTCACCTGAAAATTGGCCTTTATAGTACAGGTCCCACTTGCAGCCGGACTTGGTGGCAGTTCTTGTCTCCCGGTGGGCTGTGGGTCCTATCCTGCTCTCCCAGACTCGGCAGAGGGAGCTGTGACATCAGCCAAGCCTCAGCTCTCCCTGCAGGACAGCAGCCCCGGGCTTTGGAGAGGGACCAAAGAAAACAGCGCCGGGGCCACAGCGCTGCGCAGCCCTCATGGAAAACTCGCAGACTCAGCACATCTGATCGCTCCCCCTTTTGCCTGGAAATCGAGCCAAGAGTTATGCAGAAGTTGTAATTTAAAATGTAAATGCACTGTTAGCTCTAAAATTACTTAAAAAGCTAATCAGTTTGCATCTGTGCAGAAAGATCTCAGACTCTCAGCACAGTGGTGGTGTTTTGCTGATGCCGGAGCACCTCTGCGTGCAGTGGCACAAGGCTGAGACCCTACGCCTCTCCTGGTGGGGCTTCAGCCACTCAGGGGGCAGTAGGGCAGAGAAACACCTCACAAAGAGTATTTCTAACTTGCAAAGAGTAATTTTCCTCCCCTACACCCACACACCCAGGGCAAGCACAGGCAGGGAGCAGCACAGCTTCACACCAAACAAATCCCCATCCTCCAAGCAGCAAACCACAGCCTCCACATCTCCGAAGGGACAAGCATGGTCCAGATCCCAGCCTGACCCAGGATGAGCATAAAGAGGTCATTCCTTATCATTTGCATCCCTGAGATAAGGTTGATGAGCAGCACCAGTAACAGCTTGCAGCATTTCTCTGATCTGGCAGTTTGCATCACAGCCTGAACAGGCACATTCCCAGCAACCCGTGGCAAGGAGCCATGAGGATATGTCCAGGTCCCCATCCCACTGCTGCACCCCAGAAACACTTGTACCACCCAGAAGCCATCCATAGATCACATATGGAAGATGGTGCAGTGGAGCTGGGAGCTGAGGGCTCAGAGTGTGCAATGGTCAGCGAGATCATGATGGGTGTGTGGGAACACCTAACGCTGTGGTTCAGAGAGGAGCTTTGAGCACTGATGCATCAGGGATGCTTGGAGGAGGCTCTGGGCTGCAGCCCGGTGTTATGCTTGGTCCTGGAAAGAACCTTGAGGCAAAAGTCAAGGTTTTTCACACACAAACTGCTGACACAGCTCAGTGCCCTGGAGAGATGGGACAGAAACGTTGCATCTGTGAAACAGACGTTTGACCACTAGACAGCAACTATCAACATGTTCAAACCACCATTTCATTTCAGATTGTTGCCCTCAAGACAGCACAGACCAGACTCACAGAGGTGCTGAGCAGCTGCTGGCTGAAGTCAGGCTTCGTATGTCTCAAGCTGAACAGCCCCACACCACAGTAATGAGAACTCCCTTACAAAAACACACCACCAAACAAGGTGATGCTTCTCACCAAATGAGAACCAGAAGAGAGAACAGAACTCCACATCCCTCTGTTCCTCAAGCCCAAACCCCAAAACAACCACGTGCTCAAGAAAGAATAGATTGTAATTATTTATTCTGGGTCGCTTTGAAAATATCACGTTATCTCCTTCCATTCATGGCTTCGTGTGGTCTCACAGCCTGTGACAGCAGTGTCCCAGCCAGCTGTGCAGGTCACTTCTTCCTCCAGTGAGGGGGAGACCATGGTCCCTTCAAGGTTGGCAGGTTGGTGCTGCCTGGTCCGATCTCAGCAGTCATCCCTCTGTACCAGGTACTGCCCGGGAGCATCGCACAGACAGGGAGCAGAGCAAGGGAGCAGTCCAGCAGGACTGGTGGGGATGGCTGTAGCTTTCAGCTGCCACAGGAAGGGAGTCTCTGGCTTGCGTTTTCTGGCAACTTAGAACTGGGTTTGTTTCTCGAGCATTTAAAAAAAAAATAAAAAGATGCTGATGCTATCTGCAAAGGAAAAGAGAAAAATCTATAAGCACCCAGAGGATCCAAGACCTGTACTGAAAGCCTGTAAAAGTAGCACGCAGATATCTGAAGGCTGGCCAGCCCAAACAACACAGTGAATTACTGTGTCAGTGGATGTGGGGACACCCACACCAATGCCTTCCCTCACTTCTGTTCAGGGACATGGTCCTTCAGCCCAACCCAACCAAACCCTGGAAACACCATAAAAGAGCAACAACTCCAACCCAGATATGCAGTCTCCAGAGGTCTGAGTAAGATCTCAAGCATTTGGGGAAGGATTCCCAATGCCACTGGGCACGGCCGTCAGCCTGCTCCCACCGGGAACTGCGGTTGATTTCCTAATGTCTTCAAAAGGTGAAGAGTCAGGACAAGCCTGAGTGTGGTTGAAAATCTCAGCTACAGGGACAGAGAAGCATCAGACCACAGAGCAGTCAGCATTCATACCAGTTATGAAATGAAACAAGGGCTTCACGTCCTGCCCAGTCACATCAGGGCTGTTGAGTAATGAGCTAACGCTATTGCCACCTCTCCAAACTCTCATCCTTTCCACACGAGCAGGAATTTGCCCACACACAGAAGTGCTGAGGTTACCTGGGCTCCTACTCTTCCAAGCAGGTTGAAAACAAGACCTTACATTATCCACATCTCCACCTGCTGAAGGGTTTAACTGCTCAGAGGCCCCATCTCCTACTTACAGTTCAGTGTCTACAATGACATCTGGCTTCTCCAGAGTTTGTCGTCTCCTCTGGATGGCATCCACAATCTTTTTCCTGGGGCCCAGTGGGATATTGATACTCTTCAGGTCATTGTCTGAACATAGCATGAGGGCCTCCAAGTCAATCTTTTCCTTCTTCAGGATGGAGATGAACTCAAACATGTGCAGGGAAGCCAGAAAAGTCTCCAAGGGGCTGGTGTCTGGTTCGTCATCATCGTCCAAGCCCAGCTCCACCTCGTCCCAGGGCAGCTCCTCCGCGTTCCTCTCCTGCAGGCTGTTGGCACTGCCAATGCTGTCGTTGAGACTTGGCGAGCGCTGCAGGCGGCTCCGCAGTTTGACGCCCATCCCGTCTGTGTTGTCTTCTCCCAGCGTGCCCCCATCCTCCCGGCCGATCCCGAAAAGCCCACTGCTGACGTAGTTGCGCCGGAACACCATGGTGCCCAGCCCGGGGCGGTTGAACAGGGACTCGTGGCCAGAGTCGGTGCTGACTTCTGAGTGGGCCGAGTCCATGTGCAAGCCCGGGTCACTTATGGCACGGGAGACAGTGTCTTCATCCGTGAGGAACATGTCTCTGATGTTACGGCGAGTCCACTCCTTGGGGCTGGCGTACGTGCCCTGCTTCACAAACATGACGTCGTTGCCCAGCTGCAGGCCGGACAGAGACCTCACGCTCTTCCTCCCATCCTCGTAGATCTTGAATGTCCCGTCCATCTGCTTCTTCTTCTCTAGTTTCTTTTGTATTTTCGTCTTTCCCTTGGCTGTGCCGTGGATGGTGGCTTGTGAGTATGGCAGGGAGGTCACCATAGACATGTGCTGGAACTTCTTGCTTAAGGTGCTGCTTGAATAGCTGGAAAAGCTCATGGTGTCTGAATTATCCGACATCTCCTTTCTGTACCGTTTCTCCATCCTTTCGTGGTGCTTCTTCTGCAGCTTCACACAGTCCTTAATCCTCCTCTCCGCGTCCCGAAAGGCCTTGTCCTTCAGTTTGCTCACCAGCTTGGGGTTGAGGCTGCTCTGCTTGGCAGCAATAGAGTCCAGGTACCGCACGCACTCCATGTGCCCCTTCATGGCTGCCATGTCCAGCGGGGTGTGGTAGTCGTTGTCCAGGCACCAGATGTTGGCCCCAAAGGAGATGAGGAAGGAAAGGCAGTTCAGGTGGCCGTTGGCTGCTGCCAGGTGGAGAGGGGTGTTCCCCCAGATGTCACATTTGTCTGGATCACCCCTAGACAGCAAGAAAAACAACCAGTTAGCATTTGGGCACAGCTGACAGACTCCGCTGGGATATTCCCAGCTGTGCAGGGGCAAATCAGTACCATGAAGTGCTGACTCCTTGAAATGTGAAGCCACACTCTTCTGACCCCCACAGCTTAATTTTAAAGGGGTCTTCTGGAGGGGTGTACCACTGACATGGAATCATTTTGCCTGACATGCAAATCTGTGGCAATTCCCGTGACCTGAATTTAGGTTGCAGGAAAAATATGCTCCTGCATTAAAACAACTTTTGGAGGGAGGCAAGACAGCTTCTGAATAGCCCAGAACTGAAATGTGGGGCTGATTCCAGCTCAGGCCTAACAATATTTTATTGTTATAAAATATCAAAGCTCAAATGTCCTTTTAAGTCCTAGTCAGATTCTATCTTCAGATCTTGGCTTCATTCACATTCTGCAGAGGGGTCTCCCAAAATGGCTCTCTGTACCCCACATCCTGGGTGGGACACCCTGGGGTCCCACCATCACAGTAGCACCACTGTGAGACTCCTCAGCAATGGTTCTGAAACCCACCACCTGCTGCACCTTCCCACCCTCCTGTTCCTTGGTGCCTGGGGAAATTTGGGGCTCAAGGAGCCCGTTGGCAGTAGGGAATAAGAGTGCATTTGCTGACATTGGCCTTGGCATGGGGGTTTTGTGGGGGATTTTGCTGTACTGTGCTTGGTCTTGGTTGCACGGCTTGGAGCACATTGGTATTAGCACATCCTGAGAATCCAGTTTCAGAGAAAGTAGAGATTAGGTTTCTGCACTCCTCAAGAGCTGGGCACTCGACTACTGCCATTAGCATCTCTTCTCACACCGTGCCAGCCCCTGCCTCAGCAAGCTGCTGACAGGACACAACCGCTTGCCCACGTCTCCTGCCTGCGGTGACAGGAGGGACACAAACCTGGGATTCAAGGGAAGTCTCTCCTCCTGACATTCCTCTGTATTTGTGTTGGGGTGAAACAAGAGATAGTTCACACCCCTGCTGGCACCAGCCTTCTCCTGAGCATGTGCTAATGATATGCAGCCAGCAGCAGTATCTGTCAACAAGGCACTCTCCCTCCGTGCACATGGATAAGGGAAAGCCTTTTATTAAGGCTCTGCAGCTCCACCACCCTCAAAAGCTACTCCTGTGGGCAGCAGGGCCCTCGCAGAGCTCTGGCTCAGCAGAGCTCCTGCCCATTTCTGTGCCACCCTTTTGATGAGCTCCAGAGGAACCAAGCACTGTTTCTCCACCACAGAGACCTCAGCTCCAATCCATGGTGACACCAGGAGTGCAGAAGGCAAATCATAGAATATTTAGTGTTGGAAGTGACCCACAAGGATCATCAAGTCCAGCTCCTGAAATGCACACTTGAGACCTTCAGCCTGTGTTACTTAACTCCTTGCTGCTTTAGAATCTGTGTCAACAAGAGCTGGGAGCAGCAGAGGCCAGAAACCTCTTCCAAATACCACATGCTCTGTGCTATGGCTTATCTCACTTCAAAGGATCTGAAAACTACTGAAGAAGAACAGAAGGTCACAGGAGCAGAGGGACCTCTTTCCCCTGCTGCTTTGCACCTTCTTCACTAGTGCCAACACACAAGCCCCAGGAACAGCCTTATTCAGCACATTCACCCCCACACTGAAGGTAGGGACCCCACTGCCCACCTGGGACCCTGCTGTCCAGGGAACAGCAGAGCCAGAGCAGAGCCACCCCAGCTGGTGTAATACTGAGCTGACAATCCTCAGGCTGTTCAGAAATGTCCAGAGGTTAAACTGGAGATTATCTGGACCCAGAGCATGAGCTTCCTGCCTGTATTCCCTGAGAGCTGCTACAAGGTGCACTCAGCTTTCCCTGTGGGAACATGAGCAGTAACTCCACCATCCACATGTTTTCACAACATTTACAGAAACTCTGTAAGTACAACCTTGAGCCCTCTGGCAAATTCAGCAAGTTGGTCAAAAGGTTCAGAACTGTGTAAGGGCCAAAAAGACCCACAAACCCTGCAGAACTTCTGTAGCCAGAGCCTTTGACACCTCTCATAGAAGCAGAGAAGGGCTTCAAAGATGGGTGAGGAGGAGGAGGGCAGGAGATCACAGGGTTGAGGAGCCATGAAGCCAAAAAAGGAGAGGAAGGAGCTGCCAGTGCTCCAGCAATGCTGAGTTTCAAGGAGTGGTAACTCCCCAGCCCTTGCCTCTACCCTCGTAGTGACATGTCCAGGCTGGGAAATGCATGGGGAGGATAAATATTTGATGAATTGCAAGAGAGGAATAAATTATTGATGGAGCTGGATTTAAAGAGCCAGTGAAAGTGGAACTGCTGGTGCTGGCAGTGGGACTGGAGTGCGTGAAGGGCTGTTGGTTTGTTTATATGTGCTCTGAATGGGCCTGACATGTGGGCAGGTGAGCCAGGGCACCACGAGGGTCCCGACATGTACTTGGACTCGTGATGTGGACAGTGACTGAGCAGTGGACTCACTGCAAACAGTTTTGCTCCTCAAGCCAAGTGTGTGGATGCTCAAACTGTAAAGTGCATCTTGGAGCCTATTCTTGTGTCTGTCCAGTTCAGGGGTCAGAGAGAAAATCCAGGCAGGTCTTGGGGGATTCGTATTTGAAGGTCTGCTTTCATCAGAGAGTAAGTGAGGGGAAAGAGCAGCAAAACCAGCTTTCTTTGGACATTTCCAGTGTCTAGAAACAAGAGTATTAGAGCAAAAATTAGTTATCTCAGGGCCTTTGCCCTATAAATGTCTGCTGCAGGCGCTAAAAATGCATCAGAAGGAAAGAAGAATGGTGACTTGCAAAGTAGGGATGTTTGATCCAGCTCAGATAATAAACATGAGGCCCTCCCTCTGGCAGGTGTCTGTCTGAGCAAAACTTCACCTCCGGGGCGCTGCACATGAGGAGATGCTGACTGCAGGGTCCACTAAGTGGGAACGTATTTTAATAACAGGTGTAAAGTGTAGCACTTCTCGACTTCAAGGCGTTTTCGAGTGCTGAGTCAACTGTAATAATCATTATTAAAAACACTGTTAATTGGGCCCCTTAGGTGGACGTGTGCATCTCCTGAGTCACTGTGTTTGCACCATGACATGCACGCTCACTCCCTTCCTGCCGGTTTTCCCCCTCCACTTCTCCCATGGGATCCCAATTAGCCGGGGAATCCAGTGGCACTTACATATGTTCTTCCCTGGGTGCGTGTGTGGAGTTCCTCTAATAGCAATAGACTGGCTCACCCTTGGCTCATGGGTGTGTGTGAGGAATCGGGCCGTGGGACCGGGAGCCAGCTGGTAGCAGCGTGTCTCTGGCTCCCATAAAATGTTTTTAGATAGAGGGAGAGGGGAAAAAAAAGTAATTTGTGGCTTGAGGAACAATCCTCACTACTTTCAGCCCAGCCAGTCAAGGCAATGACCCAAGCAAGGCATAGAAATGAGCAGAAAAGATGAGGTTTTGGACTCAGAGCAGAGCTTTGGGTTCTGTATCCCAAGTTTTGCCCAGGTGGTGGTAGGTCAAGAATTCAGCTATTCCCTAAGTTCAGATCCCAAAAAATCCAGCACAGATGAGGGTCATCTCAGGGCTCTCTGCCTCTTGTCCCAGCAAACAGCCAGGCTGGCAGTAACTGTGACTGGTGTTTGTTAGTGCTGTGGCAGTGCCCGGGGGCACTTCTGCTGGCTCAGCACCATGCCCAGGGCTCACCTCACTGAGCAGACAGCTCAGGTGCCGGAAGCAATGGAGCTGCAAGAATACTCCACCCTGCTCCTTCACCTTCCTGGCTGGTCATTGCCCAGGGGAAGGTCCCCACCAACACAGACATGCCGCTCCAGCCCTGTGGTGTGCAGAGGATGCACATCACCTTCACGTGCCTTGCTGCAACCTCCGCTGCAATCCTACCCCAGCCGGGGTGACGGGATGCCCTGGAGCAGCCTGGCTGTCAGGAGCCACCGTCACCCCCAGCCCACAGCTGAGCCACTTGTCCCCTCTGCCACTGACATCCAAAGCATCCATGACCCCCGTCTTTGTAAGAAGGGAGACTGAGGAGCTCCTCTGCAAAGGAATGCTGGGTGGTAAAGCTGAGCGTGGACCTGCAGACACATCCTCACCTCTCCTGTTGTCAAATCCAAAGAAGTCCTGGTTGTTCCCCTTCAAGGCCCCCAGAACTGCAGCTAACTGGAGCTGGGCTGGTGCCCGGCACTGCCCTGGCAGGTCATAACGAACCGTGCTGAAGAATTACTGCCTCTGAAAAGCTGCAGTGCTAAATGCCAGCTAGCCTGCTTCTTCCCAGCCATCATGTTAATTGAGTTTGTTTTCCTCGCTGGAGCCCAGCCAGGAGGAAGAAAAAGGCTTTTTGTGTGGCAAACAAGAAGGATGAGCCACTGCTGATCCCTCTGTCCCAAAGCCTCCCTCCATCCCCTTGCAAAGGGGGCACAGAGGCACAGACACATCACCAGCTGCTTGGACAGAGCAATAAACTGCTTCATTACCCTTTCCCGTGCATTGAGGCAACAAGTTTTACTCAAGGATCTATCAACTGATTTATTATATTTTCTTTGCCCCTCTCCATTTCAGCCCAGCACCACAATCTGCTGAACACAGCATATGGATGAGTCTCCTCCACTGATGACAGAACCTAGGTAACTCCAAGTGTCCATCAGCCCAGCGTGACCATCAGAGCCATAATTTTGGCCCCCTTAGCCCCCTCCCACAGCCCTTCTTTCTCTGGCTGCCTCTGGACACCCTCACTAGGACATTTCATAACAGCCTGGCCCCAGCACTCAATCTCCTGGCTTGTTTGGGCACAGGTACCATTGCCCAGTTCTGGCAAGGAGATTTTGGTGTTTCTTAATGCCTTGGGACTCTCCCATCACTCTCTGTACTTTGGCATCCCCCTGGAACCCAACTGGAGGCTCACCAGCCCCATCAGACCCTGAAGCTGCTTCCCACCTCATTCCTGCATGGAGCCAGCCCAGCTCCCAAGCCTCCACTCCATGCCATGGTCCCACACTCCCCTACCTCGCAGTGCAGGGCTCTCAGTACCAAAGAAGGAATATTTTCACTGCAGAAGCCAGAGGGAAATTCCCTGACATTTTGGGATACTGAGGAATCCTTCCTCTTGCCTCCCAGTTGTGATAGTGCAGGTGTGATAGTAACATATAGAACACAGCATTACATTTCATCTCTGAACAAGACTCGAACACCATGGCACATCCTCCTAAGCACTGAGGGCAAAAAAATTACAGGGTTCTGCTCTCAGGCTCTCCTGGGTCCTGCGCAATTTAACCTCTCTGGCACCCCTGTCCCCAGGCTGGGGCTTTCCCACCTTTCCTGCTCCAGGAAGCAGGGACATGCCTGCCTCCATGCCGAGCACTTCGCTGGTCTCTGTGTGGCCCTGGGCAAGGATCTGACACATGGAGATGAATGCACGGATACAAACACATCCTGCAGTCCCACAGCTGCACACTTTGCTACACTATCCATCATGTAAAGGGCACTGGGCTTTTGCCAGGCTATTTTCCTTGTCAGGAACAAATGTATATTAGGCTGTTAATTAAACAGCAGCCAAGCTGCACTCAGACACGACTGAGCCCACAAGGACCTTTTAATCCAATGTAGATTCATAAAAGGGGCCCGTCCATGAAAAAGCAGCCCTTGGGCTTTGTGGGGTGGCAGAAACTGCTGGCTTGGATGGGGGTTGACAGGGCAGGCAATGGTGCTGCAGGGTGCCCTGTGATGTAGGTGAGCAATATAAGGAGATACAGCGATATAAAGAGGTTACAAAGTCAGTCTGAACGGCTTTGCCTTTCTGGAGGAGTGTTCATTCACAGCATGGGCCTTTCAGATCAACTTTTTGGCCATCAAAGAGTCTTTGGAACCATTTCTACTTCAGGATCTCATGCCCAGAGCTCTCCTGCCCTTGTCTCTCTGTCCCTGGATGGCAATTCCCCTCCCAGCAGGATCTCAAGGAAAATTTCTGCTGGGCACAATCTCTCCTGGGGGATGCACAGTGAGCCACACAACCCCCACCCAGGGAAGCATCATGGGACTCTCAGCCCAGGACCATTTTGGAATGCTCCACTCGGAGCAATGTCTTGCTCTGTCCCTTCTGGACTCGGAAATAATCTTTTCCTGACCACACTCCTATTGCATCAGGTGCTCAAGAACTTCTCAAAACAACTCTATACACAGCCTTCCTGACCCCAGGATCTGAGAGGAAATGCTTTATAACTGAAAGACAGCAATGGGTGGAGAAGCTCTGCCTTTGAGTGCAGCTATGGAGCTGGCTGAAGGTTTTATACGAGAAAACCAGAGTTTCAGGAGATGCTGAGAGCCCAGGAACAGGCACAGTGGAGATGTGAATGACCAAATACAAGAGCTGCTAACACAGCCCACATTGGACACAGAAAGTCCCTGGGTGGGAGCTGACAGCCCCACCAAGCCCTGGCCCAACATGGAGAAGCAAAGCCCTTCCAAGGATGCACGATGAACATCCAGGCTGCTGCTGACCTCCCTCAGCACCATTCCTCAATTTTAGAAACGCATGAATCAAAATCAGCACTGCCACCAGTCTCTCAACCTTGGGTGCCTTTAGGTAAGGTGCTCAGAAAAGCCGCCAGAGTGGGAAGAAGCGCTGGCATGTGGGTTTGGTAAGAACAGGAGGGCCATGTACTGCTCAAGAGTAGTTCCTCTAACACCAAGGTGTAAATCCTACCAGTCTGACAAGTCTCCTCAGTACCACTCCCTCCTCTCCACCACATCCACTCTTACAGAGCCAGAAACCCCAAGATTTAGCAGCCGAGGGTGAGGTACAGAGAGACACACCAGCATTGAGCAACCCCTGTGGGGGAGACTGGGCTTAAAGAAATCTGCTCTTGGAAAACCTCCTCTTGAATCTCCTGGGCTCCAGGTGCACAACAGGCTGCCCGGGGGTCACATACTGAGACCTTGCTTTGGGTAAAACAGACAAGGGTCACCCACTGCCAGCAGGCACTGCGCACATCTCTCTGTGAGCATTCTTGGGACAGAAGGAGCAGTTATTCTCCCTGCCCCCTCATTTAAAAGGGCTTTTTTCATGTCAGTGCTCCGATGTGCTTGTGTTTACAGGATGTGTAAAGGACCATGAAGCACTTGTAGGGGGGACACATCCTCACCAGGGGAGCTGCAAACAGGGCTGGGGGCAGGAGTGGTTATAGGGTCAGAGGAGCTGGGAAAACAGAGAGCGGTTATCAGGAGCACTGGATTACACTCAAAGCACCACAAGCAGAGAAAAATAACGGTGGGGAGGACAGGAGCAGGGGTGTTATGGACAGAATGCATCATTTTTTGGGGCACACTGACCTGTGAGCAGGGAAGGGGGAAAGATGGGGGTCCCGGCTATTCCACCCCCCAGACCAGCACCGTGCACTCGCCCACACTCACCCTCTGCTGACGATGAGGCGCAGGGCGTCCAGGTTGCCGTGGTAGGCAGCCCATAGGGTCGGGGTCATGCCATCCTCGTCCGGTGAGTTCAGGTCCTTCTTGGTGGCTTCCTTCAGTAGGTCCAGGTAGCCGTCCCGGGCGGCCCGGTGGTACTGGTCATTCATGGTGCGGAGCGGTCCCTGGGCGAGCACATGGGTGCCCAGGGGGTTCAGGGGACGGGCATGGGTGTGAGGCAGGGGGAGCTGCCAGGAGGGCCCCGCTCGCCTCGCACAGCTCCGCAGTACCAGGACACCTGAGAAGTCCCGGCCGGCGAGGCAGGAGCTGTTCCAAGCTCAGCCAGCCAGGCTCTACAGCGCTTCCCCTGGGTCCTAAGCATCCTCCGGCCCAGACAGCTCTTTGTAACACACACCAGCTCCACGGCGCATTAAAAGCTCCAAGTAAGCAGCATCACTTCGTCGGGCTCAGCCCAGAACTTGGGCACAGGGTCACGCAGTGACAACTCGCCACGTCTGCATGTCCCCAAAGCAGAGCAGGCTGCCAGAAAGGCTCATAGGTTGTATCCTGCCTGATACCCCTCCATGCCCCTCTCCATAACTACCTCATCTCAAGGGAGGGGCAGCAGCAGCCACAGGAGGAGGAGTGGGTCTATATCTATCTATCTATCTATCTATCTATCTATCTATCTATCTATCTATCTATCTATCTGTCTATCCATATATAAATCCCTAGTGCCACTAGGAAGATAACAGCAGAGCCAGTCACTATCCCTGTCCCCCTTCTACCCTGCCTATACCCACAGAATTCTGCTTCCCAGGGAATTGCACAACAAACTGCACAACAGGAATCCTTGATAAACCAAATAAACTTGTATAGGCTGGGAAAATCCCCTTCCTCACCCTGTTTTCCTCTCTGGAGAGTAAAACAACACCAAACCTACTCCCATCTGTAATTCGGTGCTTCACTGTGAGTGCATGGGGGTGCAGTGTCTGGCCTCTCGTGTCTTTTATGCTGACACAGAATTCCTGGCTGGGTGAGACCCTCGGGGAGCTGGACAACCCCAGGCAATGCCTCCAGCGCAGTATTCCCGGGCCCCGGGCACCCTCTGCTGTCGGGAAAGATCGAGGCAAGCCTGGATGTTGACCAAAGCACACAGTTGTCCCAGCACCCAAGGGTGAATTGGTGAATTGTATCCCCTGGGACATGCTGTTGTGGGGGAACAATTTCCTGCCGCTCCCTTGTTCATTTTGCCTGTCATGTCCTGACTCTGGGAATGGGAGATCTCCAGGGCTGGAAAAAAATGCCCTGGGACAGGAGGGTGGCCCTAAAGCAGTGCCAGGTGCACCCACACAAGCTGCAGTGGTTAACCCCTGGGTGACAGACACGGAGTGACTGTCCTGGGTGCCTGGGGACACCTGTAAGTGCCCCAGGCAGGGTCTGCTGCTCCCCACGGGGTTTGCTCACCTCGGCAGGTTTGCTTGTGCCAGCTCAGCCTCCCCAGGTGAGTCCTGATGGATGTAGTAGCCACGGAGGTATTTGTTGCCGGGATCCTTCCAGGTGAAAAAGCAGCACAGTAACGTCTGCAATTCATTACCGAGGTTATTTAATGATTCTTGTGTTATTATTAATTAAGTTTGTTCTGCTGTTGTCGTGAAACGAGTGTTCTAAGGTTGCTGCCGGAGGACTGGGAGCATTGCCCGAGGCAGTAAACACTCTTTCCTCTGTTACTGGCTGTTAAGGACAAAAGAGGGAGGATAAACCAGTGCGTTTAGCCCGAGGGGCCTCTGAACCTCTGCCTTCTGCAAAACATCATTATCCACTCAGTTTTACTTCAGGGAGGCCTGGGCTTCCTCTGGGAGAGGCTACAGATTGAGGAAAGTTCAACCACTCATCCTGAAAGGAAGCCCTAAGGATCAGCAGGGCAGACCCAGTGCTGGTGGCAGCCGGCTGGTGGCAGCACGGGAGGGATTCACGGAGATCTGATCCTGAGCTCTCCTTCACCATCCCACGCAGCTCAGTTTGGTGCTGTCCCTGCAGTGCTCAAAGGAGCGCGGTGGTGAGCAGGCAGGAACAGGACTGAGAAAACACACAGCAAGCAGCCTCTGTGCTGGGCCCTAGAGAGGGAAAGCGGTAGGGACATCTCCAAAAGAGGCATTTTCAGGGATTAAAACTCATCCCCATCCACTGAGAACTGCCCTGGGTCCCCCCATCTCCTCCGTGAAACATAAGCTGGGGAGAAAGAGACCTTGAGCAGAAGCTCTCACCTCACCTGGCAAAAGCTTGAATCCCATCTGCACTGTGGTTTATAACATGACTTCCTCCTTGGAAGGAGAGGAGTTAAGCTGCTGAGAAAGGGCCAGAGAAAAGTGGTCCCACCCTGAAAAATCAAAGGCGGTGCGTCAGCAAAGTCGAAGAACACGAATTACAGTCCCCAAATCCTGCCCTGCTCTAGTGCTCAGCCTTCCTCATTGTTGCCATCATGGGTGGGAAAGGATTACATTACCCTTGGCACTGAACAGATGCAAATGCAAATTTCTTCCTTTTTCCTCAAAAACACTCCAGGCCTAGAGCAGATTGATTTGAATAAGACAGGGTGAGGCACAATATTTATTGTGCTCAGTTAAGCAGAAAGCCAAGCACCACATCATCAGCAAAGATAAGTTCGTCATCTAAACCATCTTCTCTCGAGGGAAGAGATCTCATGGATGCAGGGAGATGGGTTTCATGGGGTGGCTTTGCTCTCTGGTGACCCTGACCCTGCAACCGAGCGGTCCATGCCATGCTTAGCAGTGTTGTCAACTCATGCTCTCATTGGGTAAATAACCCTTATCTCCTCGTCTTTGTCCAGCTTCCCCAAAATCAGCTATTGCACAAAATGCATCACATGAGTTTCTCTGAGAAGCCCACGAAGCCCTGCTGTCAGCTCCAGACATGGTATAAATCAGAGAGACATCCCAACGGGTATAGATTCTTCGACTGACCAAGCTGCAGCTACAGGGAAACTTCTCAGCCTGGCAAGAGCAGAGATTTGGATCCCAGGCAGCAAAACAGGTTGGTGAAATGGCTTTGTTTCAGCCTTTTCATTGAGAGTCAATGAACTTCCAAACTTGGCAAGGGGCTTTAGAGGGTGTGACAGCAGAGAGAGCTCACACCCTTCTTGCAGGAACTGGTAAAAATTATGATGTGATGGTCCAAAGATTCTGGGGGTTTCTTACCTTTTTCTTGGCCTGTTCTTCAGCCGGGAAGTATAACAACTTCTTGGAATGTCTAGTATTTGGCATTTAGAAATCAAAACCACACTGGCCATTTGCCCCAGGATATTTGATCCCGTGAGCACTTTTTGGTGCTTTTCCGGTATCTTGCATCAATAAACACGTAAATGTGATATGTGACCAATTAGAAAGGCTTTGCTAAACTGACCTGGGATCTCCCCGAGCAAAAGCATCTTAAGCAACAACAGCCTTCAGGCAACCAGGAAAGGAAAGGTTGAGAATGAGCTCATCCCTTGTCTTGCAGTCCCTGTCTCAGCTTTCCCTGTTCCTCTGATATGTCCTCTCCTCCTCATCACGTGTCCTGCTTTGGTCCAGCCCTGGACTGTTCCAAATGAAGTGGCACCTCTCATTCATGGGACTCTCCTCCCAACAGCACTGACCCTCAGACAGAGCATTGGCTGAACCATGACCGAAGAGCCCAGGCGGAAGGACAGCGAGACCGGACACCCCAACTCCAGCATGGGCTGCGGACACAAGGACGACAAAGCCAGCCTGGCTTTGAGCCAGATAGCATCTTTCAGCCACCAGGCCCCCTCCACTCCTGCCTCCAAGGAAGTGTGGAAAAAGGGCGGCCGCATGTTCTCCATCCTGCTGGCCGTGCACTTGGCCCTGCTGGCCTGCACGCTGGTGAGCAGCGGGGCCTTTGAGAAGATCGCTGTGCACGACTACGATGTGTTCTTCCTGCTGACTGTCATGATGCTGATAGTCATCATATGGATCATCTTCTACCTCGCTGGCACCTCCCGGTGCCCAGGTGCCATCCTGTGCAAGGACTCCCACGCTGGGCCCATCTGGCTGAGAGGTAGGAGCTCTCGGGGGCTGGGGTTGGAGGGGAGGTACAGGGTGGAGAGTTCACGGGAGCATCAGTTATTACAAGGGAAGCAGCAACCATGTGGGCACAGCCTCCTCCTGCTCTGGGGCATGGCACCATGCCCTGCTTCAGGTCAGCTCCTGCTCCCTCCACTGGATTCACTGCCAGGTCTCCCTGTATCCACAAGGGCTCTTGGTAATTTACACCAGGATCCTTCCCAGCCTAAGATCCTTCTCAGCTTTTGCCAGAGTGTTAACCCCAGAGTACAGGGTTGATTGAAAATCCATTCCATCCAAAATTATTGTACGATTCTGTTGGTGCTGGGAAAGGAGAAACAGTTGTAGAAGCAAAACCCCCCATGACAACAGTTCCTCATCTTCCTCTCATCTATCTGCATTAGCCCATGTGTTCACATATCTGTCCAACTACAGATATTTTTGTTCCTCAACAGGAGGCCTGATTCTATTTGCCATTTTCAGCCTTGTCATGGACGTGTTCAAAATAGGATATTACTCGAGCTTCTACAGCTGCCTGTCTGCAATCAAAATCATTTACCCCATTGTGCAGGCAATATTTGTGGTCGTCCAGGTGAGATGGTTCTGCTCAGTCTCAGGGAGGGGTGGAGAGACACAGGCACCAGTGGAAGAGCTCTGATCTCATGAACATAGTTCAACCGCCCCCACAGCAAATGCAGAGGCTTAACTCAGCCCCACCCAGCCCACATCTTCTCCCTCCCTGGGGCAACTCACTTTAAGGCATTGATTTAAATTTGTTCTCGTCCTGTGACATTCTGGCTTGTCACAAACTCTAAGCAGCCCCCATCCAGCCAGGTCTCCTTTTCCATGAAGAACAGAGGAGGAGAAGGACAGTCAGGGCAGGGGTTGCCTTACAGTCTGAGGTCCTGCACAGAGGACCACCTGCTCTGGGACAGTGCTAAGAAGGGAAGAGGTCAGACAGGGACAATTTAGACAGGAACAGGGAGTGGCCATGGGCAAACAATGGCAGTGTGAGCAAAGAAAGAACATTCAGCAAATTGCCAGGATTATGGGCTCCTAGGCTGGGCCCAGATGGACACAAGCAAAAGAGGCTCCTCTCTCAGGATGATGTGCTTTGCTTTCTTGTTTTGTTGGAAATAACTCCTTTTCTTGCCCCTGCCAGACGTACTTCCTGTGGGTCTCTG